AAATTCACAATATTGGCTGATGGATAGAGAGAGAGAGATTTTGGACAATTTGATCAAAAGTAATATTAATTCAAGAAGAGTGCAGTCTTGAGATAAAGGAGAGCGATATAGAACAAAGAGAAAGGCGATAGAATGAAGTGGTGCTAAACGAAAGCACATAAAAGAGTAGTCTGTGGATTCAAACCTAGTTTTCCGACAAGTGGGTGAACTTTCACGAATGTAAATGTCCAGGCCAGTCAATTTGACTATTGAAGTCTTTATGAATGAAAGTAAAATAACTATCAACATTAAGATCACAAGATGAGACAGTTAAACTCAAATTAGTCTCACAAAAAACTTGGTCTGGTGAACTTTGCAAGAGATAAGGTAGGTCTGGTGAACTTTGAAAGAGATAAGACTCAACAGTAAAAGAGTTACTTCAAAGACCACAAATATTAGTGAATGATAGGTTTAATGACAAAGTGAATGACAGGTTTGATGATATAGTGAATGATAGATTTGATGACTTCTTACTGATGATGATGGGTTTTTGTGTTTTACAGTTTTTGGTACATTATTCATTTTTAAATTTGTTAAAGAACTTGACCTTAAGCATAGACAGTACTCAGTACACTATTTAATTTGTTTTAGCCCAAGAAATTGCCTCATTACTATTGATAAACTCTAAGCTGTAGCATATGGATTAAAATTTGGCCTTGACAATGCACAATAAAAGTACAAAGAGGGCATTATCCATGCAATACATGGCACTGTTAATACTTTGATATTTTTCAGCTATTGATGGAATCAGCATTTTTGAGAGTTACAACAGAGTTCAGGTAACCTGACTACCAGCTGGCCTCAGAACCATAAAACTGAGTTTTAGAGCTGCACCCTCATTATGAGATAATATAATGAGATGCCTAGTCATGAAAATAGAGACATAAGCAAAAACCATGCATTGAGTCAAGAAGATCCAGCATTTAACATCCTAAACTGGAAGCAATGTATTAATAATACGCCCAAGATAAGTTTTTTTATTGAGATATCATTTCTAGCCTTTACTCAACCAAGAGCCCCTAGGCAGGGGGTGTTTTAATTCGGAGTTGGCTTCTCCTAGCCTTTGCCTAAAAAAGTGTATCCTATAAGGCAGCAGGACCTGAAGCAGATTGTACTGGGTTACATTTTAGCAGTTGCAGGATAACCTGACCTGTCATTAAAAAAAAAGAAGAATTTCATTAACCACTGAATTTTGGAATCTTATGTACTGTATACGTCTAAATCATTATATGTTTACAAAAAGATATGAACACACAGCAACATAACAACAATGAATAAGTTATGTTTAAGTCAAACAAACATGAGAACATAGAATTTTTGACCCCTTAAGTTAACTATTCAGCTTGTCATATCTTAAAAGCATTAAAAAAATTAAAACTTGATTATATAAATTTTTTGATGAAACAGATAATGCATGTTAAAAAAATGAGGCTGAGAATGAAACTGTGAACCCCAAGATGAGCAAATTTAAAAATTGTCATAATTTGTAGATTATGTACATATTTTCTTTTTTTTTTATGAGAAGAGTTCTTTTAAAACTCAAATGATTTGATTGGCTGAAACTTTTCTCAACAAATTTATGGTAATCCTATTTAACAATTTAAAAGTTGCCAAGAAAAAAACAAACAAATTTTGTTCAAATGTGTGTATTAGGGTGTTTCAAAAACAACATATTTGAAAAATATCTGCAGGTTGCACATTAATATGTTCTATATGATAAAATAACACTAGATTAAAAAGTTTTTTGAAGAAAAAATATTTTTAGGGGCCAAGACCTCAAGACCCTTGATCATTTAATGGGTCCCTAATATTATTAAAAAAATTTTCAAAAGTATGTTGTTTTAGGTCTCAAAATAAGCAAAATTGTATAATAACTTTAAAAATTTTTTTTTTTTTAAAAGCGATCATAAAAATTAATTATTCCTAAAATACTTCGTAAAAACGTATTTTTATTTTTAGTTGAAAAATACTATGTTCTAGTCAGTAAAATCTAAAATAATATTATTTTTACAAAAAGATTATTTTTTTTGAAATTTTTATATTTTTTTGCTTAATAAAACTTTAATTTGTACAAAAAAAATTAAATTACAAAATTAAATTACAGTAATTAAGACATTTAGAAGTCGTAAATGTTTTAATTACTGTAAATTTTCACACATTTGTGGAATATTCTGACACTATTGTAAAAAAGATTCTATAGAATTGATTACTTATGCTTTTTTTAAATATATTTTTTAAAAACAATAGGTAGTATGGGGGAGGGGGATTTAATGTAACTATTATTTGAACTCATTTAACTTGGTTTTTGTGACAGCATTTAGAAATCAATTCCGATTTTTTGTTTAATAAACATTCTTGGTTTGCATGTGTAATTATTTCAAAATTTTCTTGTAGGCATAGTATGTATTTTGTGGAAATATTGTTATATGCAGGTGCTGTTTTAAGGATGGACCAATTCATTATAAAATCAACAATATTTTTATCTTTTAATTCATATGTATTTTGACTGCATGGTGTCTTTTGATTTATTTTTATTTTTAAAGGATTGCTTTTGATTGGCAAAATATTTTTTCTGTTTACCCTCAGGCAATATATTGTTTATCAGGTATATTCTTAAGGAAAACATCACATTTTTTGATAAATAATTTACACTCATTAAACAATTGTTTTTTTGTTTACAATTACAATAGTCATTTTTTCATTTAGGATTTCTTTTAGTTTAACAAAGCATTATTGTAATCTTTTTTCAATTATTTCTATATTTTTTTTGCAAGTGTGACTAATTTTAATTGTGTTTCAATTAAAAGTTTTATTTAGTTAACTAGAGGGCGAGAAATGCTAATCAACCAATTAAAAAAAACTGTTTCTATGCAAGTGAAAACATTTTAAAAAATATATACTTTAGCATGTATACATGTTTATGCAGCCTCAGTTAAAAATCCGGCCACAGCTATGTTTTATCAAACCATCTAAAATAGATGTTATATAATATTATAAAACCATCTAAACAGTTATTGAGGAGTAAAAACAGTAAATATTTCTGAAATAAATTATATATTTTATATTGTGTAAAACTGAAAAATTAAAAGAGATTTTGTATTATGCAGTTACTAGTTAGTACTTAGTAGTTATGTACACATATTACATAAATGTTGTTTATGCTTGATTTCATCAGTGATTATTTATTTATAGGTATTATAATTGTCAGATAATCAAATTAAATTATAGTTTTCTTTTTAAGATTAACATTTAACAATTTAAATTATTAAAAGTAAGAAGTTTAATGGATAATTGGATATTATGAGTACCACCAGCAGCACTTTAGTCTGTACCAGTATGAGTGAATCAGCGGAAATTGACCCAACAACAGTACTTCAAACACCTCCTACCCCTAGTTCATCTGGCAATCAAGACATTGAGAAGATAGCCACGCGAAAGTCAATTATCATATTTGGGCTTGGGAGCAAGCTAACTGAAGATGATGCAAAATTACCCGGTGTCGGCTTCCAACTTTTTGTCAAGTGTTTCGCTGTCAAAAAGCAAAAATGTACAACCTTGGTGATGGAGCTAGTACAAATTGAACTAAATAGGAGTCAGCAAAACTTGTCTTGGCAAAGTAGAAGCTGTTTTATGATAAGGCTAATATTCCAATAATTAGCGAACGTAAAGCATGCGAAAAGATCATTAAACTTTTTGATGACAATGCCAAGATCCGAGCAATGCCTTTGAAACGTAGATCCATGCCCGGTTCTATAAAGAAGGTACAGGAGACGGAATGTATGCTAGCAAAGACATTTCTTCTGTAACCGGAAAATGTGGAACTGCTTATAAAAAATTCAGAAGACATGAAGTTCCTGCAGTCGATGAAGACTGATCGTTTTGCCACCTTCGGTCGATGCAATAAAGTGTTGGCGGATAAACTTCAGCACAAACGGGAACAAAGTGTGGCAAAAAGACGTGAAAAAATGTCTAGTCATCTCACAGCAGAAGCATACAGTGTTAGTCACAGAAAGCAAAGAAACTAATGAAGATAATAGTATTGAAGAACATGGTAAATTGGGCGAGAACAGTGATTCCTCTGCTGTTAGTGTTCAACTTAAAACACCTACAAGTAGAAGCCATCGTTGTAATACCCGCACTGGAACTCCTGCCTTCATACCACATGACATTGTGGAACGACCAAGGCCTGTTGCATGAGCAACCTGCTTAAAATTGATACCAGCGCAGCAGGCAATTTACACTGAGACTCTCATTGAGGAAGCAGGAGGCGATTCAACTAAGGTTTCTACATCATATTCTTATGCTGATAAATCCAGGTGGAAAGATAGAAAATCTGGTGATATCATTGCAGGTTTAACAGTCGACCTGTTAAAGTCATGGAACTGCACCAACTATCATTTGCATAGCATTTGACACAACTGCATCAAACACAGGGCATGTCACTACGGCTTGTGTGACCATTTAGCAATGCTTGGGTTGATGGCTTCTTTGGAATGCGTGTCGACATCATGTTGGAGAGACAATCTTAATGATGGATGGCGAAGCTCATATATTCAATTAAAATCTGTCTATATGAAGAACAGATCGTGATCTTTCAATCAGCACTACAAAAGCACAAACTGCCAGAGTGAGAGGTTTTGTCAACTTCTCTACCCTGAAAAAATTGTTATTAAAAAACATGTAAAAATGCACCTTTTTCACTTTTAGTTAAAAAACTATAGTTATTATGCAATAAAATCTAAAATAATAATTTTTAATAATAATATGTACACACTTGTGTGTACGTATATAAAAATAGTTGTGCGTGTGTGTACATACAAATAAATTGTGTATGTGTGTGTAAATACACACGCGCACGGGCAAACACGCACACACACGTATATATATATATATATATATATATATATATATATATATATATATATATATATATATATATATATATATATATATATATTTAGACCTTGGAGTTTACTGTTGTTTCTTCTGCTGGAGTTTATTCTGCTGTTGCAATTGATGATATTGTTTTGTCTGCAGTTGGTATGATTTTTTATTTTATTGTTGGTGTATGCTAAGTTTTAAAACAAATGGTTGAAGAAAATAAAATACTGTTTTAAGATAAGATAACTATATATATAAATGTGTTTTTAAATTTCTAAATAATAAAAGTAAACTTCAAAAGTTATTACAGTAGTGGCCATCACATTAGGACCACACATTTTTGTTACAATTTATTTCAAATAGATGGTTTAAATTCTTGTATGATAAAATAAATTTGATACTAATTTTTATTACATATCAAGTTATTTCTATTCTTGGTAAAGTTTAATAAAAGTTTTAACTGTTGGCAATTCTGGTTTTCAGCAATAACCTGCTATTATCAATTTTGTGCATTTTGGATATTTTAAGATTATTTTTATTAATTAATTTGATTAAACTTTCATTGGTTAGTTTAATTGAACTTTTATTGGTTAGTTTTATTGAACATTTTCATTGGTTAGTTTGATTGAACTTTCATTGGTTCGTTTGATTGAACTTTCATTGGTTAGTTTGGTTGAGCTTTCATTGGTTAGTTTGATTAAACTTTCATTGGTTTGTTTGATTAAATCTTCATTGGTTAGTTTGAATGAACTTTCATTGGTTAGTTTGATTTAACTTTCATTGGTTAGTTTAATTGAATTTTTTTAGTTTAATCTTAAGTGCTTTATTTCAATTTTTTTGTGAAATAAAAGATGATTAGTACGTGATGATCTTTAAATAAAAGATTTAATGTTATCACCAAGTCGTAACCATTAAATAAAAGATTTAATGTTATCACCAAGTTGTAATGCCAGTGAAAAAAATATATAGTTAAAGAGTTTGGTGTAAGGAGATCGCCTTCTAAACGCAAAACAATACCAAGGGGAAAACCGAATCATTCTGAGCATCTTCCTGGAGAACATGAAAAAGTTACAAAAAGATTTGACTATTTTTTTAGGCTTGGACAGGGATAGCGTGTGATCAAACACTATTGCTGACCACGCGAATGATTTTTTTATTGACAACTTGACCACGAGTGTTCAGATGTTTTGATGATTTAAACATTTCAGAAATAAGCTGAAAAAAGAAACACTAAGCTAAACTTATAGTAAAAAAAAAAAAAATTAAAACACTACGGAAAAAAACCAAAACAATTCTTTAGGTATAAGAAAATGTATAAGCTTTAAAATGAAACTTAATAAAATTTGAATTGAAAATTATTTTTTCTTACGTTATTTTAAAACTTTTAAAATGTTTGATTAAAGTTACTCACTTTTACACTTTTACAAATTACCTCTAATGACTATTTAATAAATAAATAAGTTTTATTTAAGTTATTGTAAAGTGAAATTAAATTATTGAAAAGAAAAAAATATAATATTTTTTAATTATATAATTATTTTTTTCAAAAAGTTGCGAGAAATTTTTCTTTTTTAATAATAACGTAGTCTTTTTAAAATATTAATTTTTAATCAGTTCATTATTTAGTTAAGTTCAATAAAAAAAAATGTTTTAAACAATTATTTGCAAAAATAGAAAAAAAAAAAAGTTTAGTTAATGCATTGCAACTGGAAGATTTTGATTTTAATTATTCATAATTTAAAGTAAACTAAAAAGTAAAAAAAAAAAAATTTCTAAAAAATTTTAAAATAATTATTTTAAAATTTTTTAGAAAGACCTTGAAATATAATTTCAAATATTTAAATTTATTATAAAAATACATACCTATTAAGAAAAATTTAAATATAACATTTAATTTAAACAAAATACGTTTATTTTAAACGATCATTCTAATTAATATTTAAATTATTCAAAGCCTTCGCTTAAAATAAAAACTTTTGAAAAAATCAACTAAAAGTTATTCATAACATAACGATTTTTTTAAAATTGCATTCAAATTGTTTAAACATTAAAACAGTAAAACAGTTGTAGTCAAATTTGTAAAGAAAAAAATTATAAGCGTGTACAGTTACACTGTGCAATCACATGTCGTTCCTGTTTAAGCCTGCTTCTTGAAAAAGTTACAAAAAGAATTGACTTATTCACGAAGCTGGTATTGTTTTATCAGATTAGACCATTTGCAGAAGACTAAAAAAAGAGGGGTTGATGTGTTATTGTCCAGCCAAGAAACTAACTTTTTTCATGGAGAAAAAAGATTGGAATGGGCTCAAAATTTATGTCACTACTCTGTTGAAGATTGGGAAAAGGTATTTTTATTCACATTCATAACTTATTTTATAATATTTTATAAATATTATAACTTAAAACAAGCATCATTTTTGGTTTGCTTCTCAGACGAGTCAATCTTTATTCAGCATTCACAATCAGTAATGATCTGGTTTGTCATTTGTGGCAAGGAGAAGGACATTCCTAAAAAGTGGTTGGAACAATGAGACACAACCAGCTTACAAAAGTGTTGGAGAATAAGTTGAATCTTCAAATGGCAGATTAATCTAAAAATATACATTAAGGCCAATTATTAACAAAACTGTAGGTAGCAAGTGATGCAACAATAAAACCACATATTGTGAAGTTAGACCAAGGTGATATGCAGAATTTAACAAAATCATTAAGAAAATATACTTGTAGATATATTTAAAAATCAAAAAATCAAAATACATAAAAATAAAGAAACTTTTAATTCTTTAATTTTATGTATTTTTGTGCATTATTATTATTATTATTATTATTATTATTATTATTATTATTATTATTATTATTATTATTTATTATATGATAACTAATATTTACATCTTTTAATTAAAGACATGTTGATATTAGTTTTTTGTATTAGTTATAAGTCATAAGCATTAACTTTCATTATATTGCCTATATTGTCTTTGTTACATTTAAGAAACATCAAAGTTTCAAGCAATGAATCAGACATACAAGCTCTACGAGAAGCATACAATCAGACATATGAGCTCTATGATCAGACATGAGCTCTATGAATGAGACATACAAGCTCTATGAGAGCACATTATTAATCCACTCTGACAAAAGATAAGCTCAATAGAAGCTGACGATGCAAAGACACTGAAATACTTGTCAAATATAGTTTTCTAATTATTTGAATATTGTTTGTGAACAGTTTTTTTAACCTGAAAATATTTTTGATTAAATTCTTGTGATTGATTCGTTCTTGTTTGTAAAACATGATTTTTTTCTATTATTTGCAAAAAAGCATTTCTTTTTTTATTGGTAAAGGGCTTTAAAATCTGAAATATATCTCTATTTTATATCAAAGTGGTTTCTAGTATTGTTTTTTTGATCAAACTATTAAATTAAACTATTGCTTATTGGTTCAAAAATGAATTTTATATAAAAATTATTTTAAAAAAATCTATTAAATATACATTACTAATAACTTTTTTAAATAGATTTAGATAAGTTAAATAAAAACAGTATAATAAAAGTACAATACAGTCTAATAAAAAATATTTTAATTCAAAAAACTTCTGTTTTTAATTTTAAGAAAAAATCATGTGTTTAAATATTTTTTTAATTTTGAAATGTTTTAACTAATAAAAAAGTATACATATATCATGTGACTTGATTTAAAAATCTAGTAAATTCCTTTTAACCAATCATGTCATTAATTATTGCTTTAAAATGGCTAGTCAAAAGCTTCAATTTAAACTGTGACATAAAACACAAAATTAAGTTCTAAAGCTTTTAAGTAAGCAAAAGTAAATCTTGTAAATAATATCAACTATAGTAAAATTTTTAAAATGCAAAAATAAAAGAAAGTTCAGTTTAAGTGAAAGTGAAAGGAAAAGGCCAAAATTTTCAAGGCCAAGGCCTTAATTTTTGGTGTTAAGGCCAAGGCCAAAGTCAAGTAAGCAAAAATAAATCTTGTAAACAATATCAACTGTAGTAAATTTTTTTAAATGTAAACATGAAAGAAAAATCAGTTCAAGTGGGTGTTGAGTGAAAGTGGAAGACCACGGACAAAACAATCAAGGCCAAGGCCTTAATTTTTGGCATTAAGGTTACTAAAAACAAAACATCAATATTATTAAACCTCTTAAACAAAATTTTTTTATTTAAATTATTTTTTAATTTAAAATTTCTTTGTCTTACACTAAAACAACATAAATAAAAAATGCATTACCAAAAAAATCATTGTTGAAGGTTCATTTTTTCACAAGCATTCATAATATAAAAAAAATTATATGATTATGAATGTAAAAGTAAAATACAATAACAAAGGTACCATTATTTTTAATATCAACTTCTCACTGTCTAATATTTAATCCTATAAAATTTTCATTCTCACTATTATACTTTTATAAAAGTATAATATTGCAATTCTTTCTTTTTAAGTTGCAAGTATTTTTATCATTCTTCAGTTGCAAGGATTTTTATCATTCTTCAGTTGCAAGAATTTTTATCATTCTTCAGTTGCAAGGATTTTTTATTATTCAGTCTTAAAATTTTAATTATAGCAAGCTAACTACAACTTAAAAAAATAACATTTTACTGTTAATGTTTGATGTTAACGATCATGCTTAACTGAAATTTTACTGTTAATGTTTGATGTTAACAAACTTTATTGAAATAGTCAATAAATCAAACTCTTTATCATGGGTAATATTTGATATCTTTTTTATAATTTTGTGAATACACATTTAATATTATATTATTATATTATATGACTATATCATATATTATAATACTTTATAATATAGTATCAATTTTATATATATATATAAAATTGATATATATATATATAATAAAATATATATATATATATATATATATATATATATATATATATATATATATATATATATATATATATATATATATATATATATATATATGTATATATATACATATATATATATATATATATATATATATATATATATATATATATATATATATATATATATATTTGTACAAACATACATATATATATATATATATATATATATATATATATATATATATATATATATATACATATATATATATATATATATATATATATATATACATATATATATATATATATA